CTCAACAAAAGAAGTCTCTTATGTGGCCAAAGTACCGAAAATATGGAGTTTTATTAACATTGTGTGTTCGGGAAGCATAAAAGAGTCAGCTTCAAATCTCCAGCGATTCATAAAACAAAAGGTACTTTGGATTACATTCATTCAAATCGTTGGGGTCCTTCACGTACCTCATCAAAAGGTGGTGCCAGGTATATGTTAACTTTCATTGATGATTATTCAAGAAAAGTTTGGGTTTATTTCCTGAAAAATAAAAGTGATGTTTTCTTAAATTTCAAACAATGGAAAGTTTTGATTGAGAAGCAAACATGAAAACAGGTTAAGCGGCTTAGAACAAATAATGGCTTGGAATTTTGTAATGATGAATTCAATGAATTTTGCAAGAATGAAGGAATTGCTCGACATCATACTGTGAGAATGACACCTCAGCAAAATGGTGTGGCAGNACAGGTTAAGCGGCTTAGAACAGATAATGGCTTGGAATTTTGTAATGATGAATTCAATGAATTTTGCAAGAATGAAGGAATTGCTCGACATCATACTGTGAGAATGACACCTCAGCAAAATGGTGTGGCAGAAAGGATGAATAGAACTCTTTTGGAAAGGGCTCGTTGCATGATTTCAAATGCTGGGTTGACAAATGCATTTTGGGCAGAAGCTATCTCTATAGCTTGTTATATTGTCAACCGAGCTCCTTCTACACCTTTGAACTTTAAGACTCCAGAGAAAATGTGGTCAGGTACTCCTGCTAATTATTCTTATTTAAAGATATTTGGTTGCCCTGCATACATGCATGTAAATGATGAAAAATTAGAGCCAAGAGCTAAAAAGTGTATTTTCCTTGGGTATGCATCTGGATTGAAAGGATACCGACTATGGTATCTTGATCCCATGGCACCAAAATTTATAATTAGCAGAGATGTAACCTTTGATAAATCCTCTATGTTATATTCTAGAAAAGAATCTTCTAGTTCTTGTAATACAGATAAAGAAAAGAGTACACAGAAGCAGGTGGAGGTTGAGATTGTCATTCTTTCTGAGCCAAGCTCATCAACTTTGGAGCAAAATACAGTTGAAACTCCTGAAGTTGAGCCAGAAACTGAAATTCCTGAAGTTGAGACTCCTGAAGTTGAATAAGAAGAAGAGGAGTATTCTATATCCAAACATAGACCAAGAAGAGAAGGTAAACAACCATTAAGGTTTGGAGATTATGTTGCATTTGTTTTCTCAGTTGCATAGGAAACTAAAGAAATTGGGGAACCATCAAAATATTCAGAAGTAATTTCTGGTGCTAACTCAGCCAAATGGCTGATTGCAATGAATGAAGAAATTGAATCTCTCCACAAGAATGGTACTTGGTCTCTTGTGAAGCCGCTATCAGGAAAAAGAATTGTTGGTTGAAAATGGATCTTCAAGAAAAAGGATGGCATTCTAGGGGTTGAAGATGCGAGGTACAAGGCACGATTAGTTGCAAAGGGCTATAGTCAGGTACAAGGAGTTAATTTTAATGATATTTTCTCACCCGTTGTTAAACATAGCTCTATTCGTGTCTTGCTTGCCTTCGTTGCCATATATGATTTGGAATTAGAACAACTTGATTTTAAGACAACTTTCTTGCATGGCGAACTTGAGGAACAAATGTACATGCATCAACCCGAAGGATTTGAAATTGAAGAAAAAGAAGATCATGTTTGCTTGTTGAAGAAATCCTTGTACGGATTAAAGCAGTCTCCAAGACAATGGTATAAAAGGTTTGATTCCTTTATGTTGGGTCATGGTTATTCGAGGAGCATGTATGATAGTTGTGTTTACTTCCGGAAGTTAAATGATGGTTCATTTGTGTACCTATTATTATATGTTGATGACATGCTCATTGCTGCTAAGGATTTAACAGAAATTCACAATTTGAAAAGTCAGCTGAAAAGTGAATTTGAGATGAAAGATTTGGGAGCCGTTAAGAAAATCCTTGACATGGAGATCAAAAGAGATCGAAAAGCCAACAGGCTATTTCTGACCCAGAAGATGTACTTGGAGAAAGTCTTGGAGAGGTTTGGCATGAAAGATGCTAAACCAGTTAGTACCCCTCTTGCTGCTCATTTTAAGTTATCAGCTGCTCAGTCCCCGCAGTCAGAGGAAGAAGAGAGGTACATGATACAAGTTTCTTATTCCAGTGCAGTCGGTAGTATTATGTATGCAATGGTTTGTACACGTCCAGACATTTCAGAAGTAGTGAGTGTGGTAAGCCGATATATGGCTTGCCCCGGTAAAGCACATTGGCATGATCTGAAATGGATTCTCAGATACTTGCGAGGTACTTCAAACACATGTTTGGAGTTTGGGAGAAATACTAACACTTTGGTTGGTTTTGTAAACTCAGATTATGCAGGTGATCTTGACAAAAGAAGATCACTGACAGGATATGTATTTTGCATAGGTGGTTGCACTATTAGTTGGAAAGCTACATTACAATATGTAGTAGCTTTATCTACTACCGAAGAAGAATATATGGCAGTGACCGAAGCGATCAAACAAGCTTTATGATTGAAGGGTTTATTTGCGGAACTCAGTTCACACCAAGGTGGTATTACCATTTTCTGTGATAGCCAAAGTGCCATTCACTTGACTAAAGATCAAATGTATCATGAGAGGACAAAGCACATTGATATAAAGTATCATTTCATCCGAGAAACCATTGCTGAAATAAAAGTCTCTATTCAGAAGATCAACACTAGAGACAATCCTGCTGACATGTTCACAAAACCTCTTCCAGTGTCCAAGTTCAAGCTTTGCCTGAACTTGATTGGCATTTATGAAGAATGATTTTGCCCATTGGATTTTTTACGGAAATGGTGGAGCAAATTTACTATATGTAAGCCGAAATTAGGCCAAGGTGGAGATTTGTAATATGGCCATTAATTTGGCTTCTTCTCAAGTTGGCCAAATTTTCATGACATTTGCCATGACATAATATCCACTATAACAAAATTTGTGGATCATGACATTTGTCATGACATAATATCCACTATTAGGCCAATGATTTCTTGCTATAAATAGAGGAGCTTCTCCCCATTTGTAAATGTACCAATTCAAGAGTTTTTTACTAGATCTTGCCTTTCTTTCTCCTCCTTTATTTCATTATAGAGTATTTTGTAAGAGAGTGAGTGTTGGGAAACACTTGTGTGAACCCTTTCTTTGGAGTGATCTTGTGAGGTTATTCTCTTGGGTTATTCGCTATATCAGGTCTGAAGGAACCTTAAAATTATCTCAAGAAAAGTACATACAGAAGGTACTAAGCAGGTTCAGTCTTCATGATGCAAAGACCATAAGCACTCCACTCGAAAGCCATCTTAATCTGTCGAAGGACCAATCTCCTAAGACAGATGAAGAAAGGAAGTACATGTCCAAAGTCCCATATGCTTCAGCAGTAGGAAGTTTGATGTATTATATGGTTTGCACTAGATCTGATATAGCCCATGCAGTTGGAGTTGTCAGTAGATACATGTCAAATCCAGGAAAGGAGCATTGGGAAGATGTAAAATGGACATTACGATATCTCAAAGGCACCTCAGGTATGACACTTTGTTTTAAAAGGAGCAATATTATCTTACAAGGTTTTGATGATGCAAATTTAGGCGGAGATCTGGATAGTCGAAAAAATACCACATGCTATGTATTCACCTTGGGTGGTACTGCTGTTAGCTGGATGTCTAGACTTCAGATAAGTGTTTCTCTATCTACCACTGAAGCAGAGTACATGGCAATCTCAGAAGCTGGAAAAGAGATGATTTGGCTCAAGAATTTTCTTAAAGAGCTAGGTAAAAAGCAGGACAATTGTGAGCTTTTCAGCGATATCCAGAGTGCAATTCATCTTGCCAAGAATCCAGTGTTTCATGCAAGATCGAAGCATATCCAGTTGAGGTATCATCATATCCGAGAGTTGATAGGTGAAGAAGCTCTTTCCCTGCAGAAGATACCAGGATCAAAGAACTCGTTAGACATGTTGACCAAAGTTGTCGGTGTTGACAAACTGAGGCTATGCACTGCCTCAGTTAGCCTTCAAGACTGATAGGGTGAAGGCGCCACCAGAGAATAACAAATCTTTATTTTAATTTCTTTCTTGATGTAACATAGGTTTGAGGGGGAGATTGATAGTAGCAAACCTATTGTTGTATGTGAAAGAAAGAAATGTAGACAAAACAAAAGAAAGTAAAATAAAAAAGAGATGAACTTATGATGTAAGCGCATACATCAGCATTCGTATGATGTAAGCGCTTACATCCTATGATGTAAGCGCTTACCTCGGCAGGACATTCAAATGCCTATAAAAGGGGTAATAATTTTCATTTGCAAATCATCCCTCAACTTGTTCTTTCTCTCTTCAATTAGTAAAGAGTTATTCTTTGTGTGGTCGTGGAGTAGGCAAAATTGCCGAACCACTTAAATTTTGTCTTATCTTGTCTTATGCAATTTATTGCTTTTCTCTTTTAAATATTTTTTCCTTCTATTAGCCTGACACGTTTCCCAAAAACAATACCAAGTTGTCTTCTCTGCTCTTCTTTTTTTTAAAGAATTTTCCTGTCAACTTGTAAATGCAACTCCACCAGCGACCAGATAAAATAGAACTTCCTGGTTGAGGATTTTGGCACATCACATAAATGCATGTAGGGTCGGCTCACCAAATGCCATTTTCCAGTTTTCCAGTCCTCAATAATGCAGCATCTTTGTTCGAAAAATATAATTTAAGTTGGAAAAACATTTGGAATTCATTTTCAAACTTGTTTAGTCCACAAGTTTACTCATTTCCACTCAATAACGTTTTAACATCATTTTTCAAATGTTTAGTCCATTAGTTGACTGACTTCTACTCAAAATGGAGATAGACTTGTGGCCACAACCTACAACCAGACAAAAATATCCCATCAGTGATTGACTGACTTCCACTCCGATATTGACACTCCAAAGACTAACAACAGTATGCTGGTATTCTGTGAATTTAATATCATTAAATATATCATCCAAGATCTTGCTTTGTTCATTTTTGTTTTAGGAAAAGGAGAAACCTGCTTGTTGTAGTTATGCTAAGAAGTTGCAATCTTCTCTTTGCTCTTGCAGTTTTCCTACTGCTTCATCACCATACTTCACTGGCTAAGTTTCCCAATATCAGCACTGATGAAGCAGCTCTTCTTGCCTTGAAATCTCACATTTCTGCTGATCCTAACAACATCTTAGCAACTAACTGGTCTTCTTTTAGCCCAGTTTGCAGCTGGATTGGAATCACTTGCAGCTCTCGCCACCATAGAATCGCAGCTTTGGACATTTCTAGCATGCAACTTCATGGTACCATTCCGCCACACCTTGGAAACCTCTCATTTCTCACTTCCCTCATCATCAGCAACAACACTTTCCATGGGGAGTTTCCAGAAGAATTGGCTCATTTGCAGAGGTTGAAAATGTTTCGTTGCTCAAAAAATAACTTCACTGGTGCTATTCCATCATTTTTAAGTTTGTTACCAAACCTTCGCTTTGTTTACCTATTCGGAAACCAGTTTTTCGGAGGAATCCCATCTTCCCTTTCCAATCTAACACAGCTGAAAGAGTTGAGTATGTCTGGAAATTATCTCAAAGGAGAGATCCCTCGAGAACTTGGTGATCTTCGTTATATGACTATCCTAGATCTGCAAGATAACCAACTTAGAGGCCCTATACCACCATCAATCTTTAACATTACAACAATGCAAATCATTGCTCTTTCCAGCAACAATCTTACTGGTAAGTTTCCAACAACTATATGTGACCATCTTCCAAACTTGGAAGGGCTTTACCTCTCAGACAATATCCTAGATGGCATTATTCCAGCAAACCTAAAGAAATGCATAAAGCTTCAAATCTTGTCATTGTCTAATAATGAGTTCACTGGAACTGTACCGAAAGAGTTAGGCAACATATCAGCTCTTACAGGATTAGCTCTTGGAGGACAGCACTTGGAAGGTAGTATGATATTTCCTTAGGATAAATCAGAAATCTTCTTCCTTTTTTCTCTCTCGCAGCCGAATGTACTAATATATATCCCCGACTTGACAGGAGAGATCCCTCAAGAACTTGGTGGTCTTCGTTACCTGACTTCGTTATACCTGCAAGAGAACCTGCTTACTGGCTCAATACCACCATCAATCTTTAACATTACGACAATGCAAAAGATTATTCTTAGAAGCAACAATCTTACTGGTAAACTTCCAACAACTATATGCGACCATCTTCCAGACTTGGAAGTGCTTGCCATCTCAAACAACCACCTAGATGGCGTTATTCCACCAAACTTAGAAAAATGCAGAAAGCTTGATATCTTGATGTTGTCTAAAAATAAGTTCATTGGAACTGTACCAATAGAGTTAGCCAACTTGACAGCTCTTACAGAATTATATCTTGGAGTACAGCAATTGGGAGGTAGTATGATATTTCCTTACAAGAAATTTGAAGTTTGCTTATTTTTTTCTCTTCCGTCAAATTGATACTCATATTTTCCCCACTTGATAGGAGAGATACCTGTGGAGCTAGGTAATCTTAAGAAACTACGAACACTGTCATTATACCAGAATGAGTTTACTGGTTCTATCCCTGCAAGCATTTTCAACATGTCAGCACTGCAGAACCTAGCACTTGAACAAAACAGGCTTTCAGGTACTCTACCATCAGATTTAGGCCGTGGAATGTCCAGCATAGAAAAGTTTAATTGTGCATATAATCATATGAGTGGTTTTATCCCTGCTTCTATCTCAAATTCTTCAAGACTTAGAGGTCTTGATCTCGGAATCAATAGTTTCACAGGCCCAATTCCTGAGTCACTTGGTAACTTAGAATACCTTGAGATGCTAAACTTGCAATGGAATGATTTTTCCAGTGATTCGGCAATGAGCTTCCTGACATCTTTAACAAACTGTAGGAAATTAAGGGTTCTCAGTTTTGCTGAGAATCCGTTAGATGGTGTTTTTCCTGCATCAGTTGGAAATTTTTCTGCTATGCAAATTTTTGAAGGACAGGGTTGTAAACTGAAGGGCATCATTCCTGAAGAAATTGGTAATCTTACTGGAATGACAAGGATGAGTCTGCAAAACAATGAGTTGGCTGGACATATTCCAAAATCTGTCCAAGACATGTTGAAACTTCAAGAACTTTACCTATATGGAAATAAGATAGACGGAACCATACCAAATGTTATCTGCAATTTAAAGAGTCTTGGTGCATTAGACTTGTCAGAAAATCATTTTTCTGGTTCAGTGCCAGCATGCCTAGGGACCGTTACCAGTTTGAGGAATCTTTATTTAGCTTACAACAGCCTGAATTCAGGATTACCTACAAGCTTGGGGAACCTTAAAGATTTGATAGAGTTCAATGTTTCATCCAATCTATTAAGTGGAAAAATTCCTCTAGAGATTGGAAATTTAAAGGCTGCAACACTCATTGATCTATCAAAAAATAATTTTTCTGGTAAGATTTCTAACACTTTAGGGGGTCTTGATAAATTGATTAAACTTTCTCTAGCACATAATATATTAAATGGGCCTATTCCGAATTCATTTGGCAAAATGTTGGCCTTGGAATTCTTGGATTTGTCTTTTAACAATCTTAGTGGTGAAATTCCAAAGTCACTAGAAGCTCTTATAAATCTCAAATATCTGAACATCTCATTCAATAAACTCAGTGGAGAGATTCCCACTGGAGGTCCTTTTGCAAATACCACAGGTCAATCTTTCTTGTCCAATGATGCTCTTTGTGGCGATTCTAAGTTTCAGGTGTCACCATGTGTCGTCAAATCTACTAAGAGGTCAAAGAGGAAAAAGGCAATCTTGGCTTTGTATGTCCTTTTGGGAGTGGGCCTGCTATTTCTTGCATTAGCCCTTGCATATATATTTTTAAGATTGCGAAAGAAAAAAAAGAATGCAGGTCAAGCAGATGTGTCTCTGGTAAAATGGCATGAAAGAATTTCCTATTATGAACTTGAACAAGCAACAGAAGGATTCAGTGAAAGCAACTTGCTTGGTAGTGGGAGTTTCAGCATGGTCTATAAAGGGATACTTAAGGATGGTACTCTCTTGGCAGCAAAGGTATTCAATGTTCAACTGGAGGGTGCATTCAAAAGTTTCGATACAGAATGTGAGATCCTAAGAAACCTCCGCCATCGAAATCTTACTAAAGTCATCACTAGTTGCTCCAACCTTGATTTCAGAGCATTAGTATTGGAATACATGTTGAATGGGACACTTGAAAAATGGCTATACTCTCATAACCTTTTCTTAGACATGTTGCAAAGATTAGATATAATGATAGATGTTGCATCTGCAATGGACTATCTCCACAGTGGCTATTCAACACCAGTGGTGCATTGTGACTTGAAGCCAAGCAATGTCTTGCTAGATCAAGATATGGTTGGCCATGTCAGTGATTTTGGCATTGCAAAATTGTTAGGTGCAGGAGACGCTTTTGTTCAAACTAGGACAATTGCATCCATTGGATACATTGCTCCAGGTATTATAACTTTTAAAGCTTCCTCATATCCTTAGAGTACCCAAAACATTAATTCCTTCCCTTGGATATAGATTGGTAAGCACAGTTTTAGAATAGTCCTAGATAGTAAGGAAACTCTTCTAATTATTTTCGACTATGATTGCAGAGTATGGGCAAGATGGAATAGTATCCTTGAGCTGCGATGTTTATAGTTTTGGCATCCTGATGATGGAGACGTTTACAAGAATGCGACCAAGTGATGAAAGATTTACTGGGGACCTGAGCATACGACATTGGGTTAGTGATTCTTTTCCAAGTGGAATTCATAAGGTGGTGGATGCTAATTTAGTGCAGCCAGGGGATGAAAAAACCAACACAAAGATGCAGTGTGTGTTATCTATCATGAAATTAGCTTTGAGCTGCACTGTAGTAACACCTGATGCAAGAATTAATATGGAAGATGCTCTTTCAACACTTAAAAAGATCAGGCTCCAGTTTGTCAGCAGTCGCCACTAGGTGAAATTAGGTCATCGGCTCAAGATTGATGCTTGATAAGTATTGTACTTCAGCTTGTATATGTTCTCTCTTTTGCATTCAGAACATCTCAAATTTCTTTCTTTCCAAATGACCCACCATATGACAGCTAGAATGGAGCTTCACATTTTCTTCCTACCTTTTCCAACTGCTAGAGTTTACATTAGTTATGAATAAACAACAATTAAAAATCATAAGTAATAAATAAAGAACATTCAAATTACTTTTTTATGAATAAATTCAAACAACTTTTTGCAACGTCTTTTCTTTGCCATCTTACTTTTTGTAAATATGTAAATAAACCAACCGATTGCGGTTGGAAAAGAAGTAAATTGGTCGCAAAAGTCAACGAATATTTCTCACAAAGATACCGACCACCGTCGGTCGGAAATAGTGGTCCCACAACATAAAAACAAAAATTCCGTCCGACATTCCGACCGATGTCGGACGGAATTGTTCAATCTTTGATCAAGACCTGGTCATACTTGCATATTATCTACCAAAATAAGTTTTAATTAAAAAATTTCAAGTATACCGATCGAAATCGTCGGAAAGTTGAAATTATTTTTTCCCGCCCAAGTGCAATTGATTTTTTAATATAACAAAAATNACACACACATAATCTTGAATGTTTTATTCTTGATCACCTTATTAGTACTTTGCTCGGATACTTCATCAGTGGATAAATTAAAAATTCAATTATATTCGATTAAAACTTACTATAACACATTTTAAAACAAAGTGTATAGTTCTATAAGATGTAGTGCTATATTAATAATTAAGTTTTAGCAACAACAATATATGTATACTTATGTTAATATTGCATATGTTAATACTTAAGTGCGGTATGATCGTTATCATATGATGATCATCATGCCTGAGGGTAATGGGTAAGATTTATTTATTACTTATTTGTTTTTGCTGAATTATAATAGCTAGTTTTGTTTATTTAATGTAATTTCTATGTTTCACGTTCATACCTAATCATCGGACTACAAAGATAATCACTGAAGCTCTTGGCCGGTTGTATGATGCACCCTGTGCGACTTAGAGCGACTTTCCACCGGAGCTCGTGGAGCAAATTTTCAACCAATTTAAGGTTTTAATACAATTATTATCTATTTAAGTATTATATTAACAATATTTTCATCTAACGTTACACACTTCATTTGCAGACTAAGTGTGCCTCGGAGGACCGGCATAACAGTGCCATTGTTGTAAATTTTGAGTTCAAATGCCGTAAGAGACTATCTCATTCCTTCTATTCTGCTCGGAAGAAGAGCAAGAAGCCTTCATGGGTTCTACCGCACATATGGGAGGATCTGCTGAGGCAGTGGACCACTGAGAAGTTCAAGAAGAAGAGTGAACAGGGAAAGAAGGCTCGAGCATCTGAGAAGAGGTGGCTCCTTGCACTGTGTGGGTGCAAGGAGCATGGGGACTGCGAGGAGACTACTGGTAATTCCTTAAAATATTTATATTTCTATTTTTATCAACCTATATTTATATATTTTAGTTTAGTTAACATGTTTTATTATATTTGTAGGGGAAAAAATATGGGAGGAAGATGACTCATGATGAGTTCTTCATGGAGACTCACATCCGGAAAAAGAAGGCACCGACAGATCCAACTAGATGGGTCGAGGACCGGGCGGAGACTACATATGTAAGTTTCATAACTACTATAACTTGAAATTAATATTTATAATATTATATAATTAATAATTTTCTATCTTCTAAATAAAGAGTCGCTACAAGATTAATGTGATGGAGTACACTCAGAGCTTGCCACCGAATGAGCAACGCGAGCGACCACCCGTTTCAGATGAAGAAGAGCAGAAGATATGGTTGGATGTTGTCGGTGGTCCTAAAAAGGGATAGCATACGGCCTTCCAGAGAGATCATTTTAGCGGTACAAGGCTGGATTGCAAGGTATATGGACTTCCACCCAAGGCGAGGCAATTGATAGGTCGACTATCTCGTCTATGGAGAAGAAGATCGCAAAGCTGACATTAGAGCTTGAAGAGACAAATGCCAGAGAACAAAAGAGAGAGAGACAATTTGATACCCTTCATGTTCAGCTAGAAAAGAGGGACCAACAATTTAATCTCCTTCAAGGTCAGCTGGCCAATCTTCTTGCTAGTGGTGCTTTCCCCATTCCCCGGTCTCGTGAGCCTTCCTCAGATGCTAATCCTTCTCGTCGTGATCCTTCGAACCATACCGACGATGAAGCTTCTAGTAGTGAAGATGGAGGTGATGCAATACAAAACACTCATTGAATGGTCTGTATTGCTAAACAAAGTATTGAACTTGTGAATATTTAGTTGGAATAGTTTTGAATAATGATTGTATTGTTGATATTATTTTTTTATTGAACATTTATATTGTTGTTGTGCTTGTTATTAGCATTGTTGTTGTGGTTGTTGTTATTAGCGTTGTTGTTGTAGTTGTTATTGTTATTAGCGTTGTTGTTGTGGTTGTTATTGTTATTAGCGTTATTATTGTGGTTGTTGTTATTAGAGTTGTTGTTGTGGTTGTTGTTGGTTAATTGTTGTTGTTGTTGGTTAATTGTGCTTGAATGACAGCAATGTAATGCTGTCATTATAGGATGGTTATTGGTTGTAATTGGCAGGTGGTGTAGCTAGCTTTAAAGCAGGCATATTCTGCCAGTTTTTTACCTAGAAAACCGACCGATTTCGGTCGGAATTCTCATATTAAAATTCAGAAATTCATAAATTTCGACCGACTTCGATTGGTAATTTCAATCTAAAATCTGCAGAAATTTGAAATTAACGACCAAGGTCGGTCGGAAATAACTTTTTTTATTTATTTATTTTTTAATTATTCCGACCGATTTCGGTCGGTCTGTTAAATTTTACAAAGAAATGCAAAATTATTATATATTTACATTACCGACCGGTCGCTATTGAAAAAAATAAATAAAAATCAATTTAACTATTACCGACCGATTTCGGTCGGTATATTTATTCTTCCAATAAAAGTTGTCGGTCAAAGTGGCCAACCAAAGGTTGAATTAACGACTGACTTCGGTCGGAAAATTGCGATCGTCTTCGATCGCAACACCTTAGTGACGACTATTGTTACGACGAATTAAAATCGGTCGGAAATCGATCGGTTTTCCTATATTTCCGACCGACTTCGGTCGGTTTTGTGGACAATTTTGGTCGAGTGAAACAAGAAATAAGAGATTTCCAAGGTGTGGAGGAATGGTACCGTAAAGTTGCATGCTATAAATGTCTAAAGCTGCGACTCTACAGGGGCGAGAGCTGCAAGTAATTCCAATCCAGCTGCAAACTGGGCTAGAAGAGACCAATTGGTTGCTAAGATATTGTTAGGATCAGAAGAAGAAATGTGAGATTTCAAGGCAAGAAGATCAGCTTCATCAGTGCTAATATTGGGAAATGTAATTGTAGCCAGCGAAGTATGGTGATGAAGTAGAATACAAACTGGAAGAGCAAAGAGAAGATTGCAACTTCTGCCCATAGCTACAGCTGCCAGGTTTTTCTTCTTCCTTCTTGAGCTAAAACAAGAATGGATGAGGCAAAGAAATGATGCTAGATATTGATCAATTTAGATCTATTTTATCTACTCTTCAGAAATAGTAAAAGCTTATTTCCTGGCTTACTCGCCCCTTCTGTTTAGTGCGAGAAATTAGGAATGGCAATGGGAAATCACAAAATCTTTAACAAGTTTAACAGCGCGTGGATGGGGCTGGGTGGCTTTGACATCAATTTTTTTTTAAAAGATCTCTGAATTTATAACCTAAATCATGCCGGCACTGTTAGTCTTGCAACTGTGTCCTCTGTGATATAAAATACCAATGATACAATTGAGGTTGTAGTGGGATAAATAAAATTTCTCCACCCTTGGTTAGAGGACTCGGGTTCGCAGTTTTTTAATGTTCGGCTAGTCAGTTTTTAAAAGAAAAAGAGAAACAAAAGGTGCCTATGTGTGCTGTTTGGTGGAAAAAAAACAAAAGTGACATTAAGAAGTGTTCAAAGAGATTCGAACCTCAGCCAAATATTCAGGAACATAGCTTAAGCTGGTTGCTTAGTTTGCCACTGGACCAACACAGATTTTGCTTATGGGTTCCAAACTAAAAATACTTATACATTTAATAAATTTATCAATACAAATACAAGGCTCGGGTAAAAGTTACTGGGTTCCCGAGAACCCACACTCGATACTATGGATCCGCCCCTGTGTATAGACCAAATCATGGGGCACGTGAACCCATAGTCTTTCCGCCAAACTAGGTATTTTATGCACGTATTTTCTAGAATTTATCTAATATTATATGTTGGTACCCATGCTTCAAAAAGATTAAATGCTGCACTTGGTTGTATATTGGGTTATTCATTGGAGTAACATGGATTGATTCCCACTTAATTCTTTTTTTCTACTTTTTTAGTGTGCACCCATGTTCAAGAAATCCTAAATCCACCCCTGGATATGGATAAAACTCTAGCAGGGAGGCTTCTCCATTTAATGGGCCTTATGCAGTACGGCGCGAATACCTGCTCCGCTTGCCATATACCCTACAAGAAATGCCAAATTAGCTGTGTCATATAAAGACGGCTGCAGCAAGTTGTTGTAGCTATACTAACGAAATCAGAAGACTTTTGTTGTGTGATATATAAATATAGTATATGGTGATAATGCTTTTTAAATGAATCATGCTTCTGTTTTATAGACTTCCTACATTTTTCTTTGGGGTAGTTGCCTGATTTGCTACCAATATAGTGTCGTCCATCTCTTGTTCTTTTTGGTTAAGAGTGTCACTTTTGAGTACTACAATTTTTATTAGAAAGTTGTCTAACTTTTTCCCCACCCCCCCAACCCAACCATTTATGGGCATTCTTTTCCTTTTAACTATTTCTGATTGAGGAGGACAGGGGGGACCCATTCAATATGACATCTGAACGGCTGCTAGCTGCACTATTGATTGTTGAAGTTCATTGCATTCTCGGAAGTGCAGTAAAGAGTTCTTTGCACTTTGCACTCTTATAGTCACTGCATTAAGCTCTGAAAACAACATTATATTCGCATAGACAATCATCAATACAGAGTTCACTTTAATCCAACATATGAAAAGGAACATTTTGCACCATTATAACTCTTTACCAAGTGTAGAAGCAGGCTTCAGCAAACTGGACTCTGTTCAAGTCCAAGAAAATTGATAGCACAAACAAGTGGATGATGAAGAAGAGAATGTCGATTGATATTACATGTAATTACATGAAAACTCAACTCAAAAGACTCGGAAAATTTATCAAAAGTATATATTTTACAACGGGAATGAAGAGCTGCAGAGCAGGGGAGAATGAAAACAAAACTATTGTACAGCGATTGCATGTTTACCTCTTTCTTACCTGATCCATGACAGATTTAAGTAATGGACTATAACTAGGAATTGCAATATTTGACCTGTCTATTGTTCATTGTCAATAACTCCCCTGGTTACCTCTTTCTTATCTGAGCCGTGAAGAATTTAGCCATTGGACTATAACTAAGAACAGCACTCTTTGACCCATCATTTAGATTTATCTACTAAATGCCTATCTCTTCTAAATGGTTGTTCAAGATTTGCTACTTTTACAGTCCCAGATCAATTCGACATGGCTTGGGAAAATAAAGTTGCTAGGAAAGAAATAACATTTGAACAGTTCCGCGTAGATCTTCGTGACTTTTGATGTTTCTAACATTTTTCTGAGAAACATGCTTTGAAAATTTATATGGTCAGTCAAAAATCAAGCACTTCTATCAACTTCTCAATTCAAAAACTTCTGACTTTATCTCCAGATATTTGTTTCATTTGTGTTCAGTGTGTATGCAACTCCAATATTTCTGATCTTTCAAGCTTTAAGGTTACAGCTTTTTCATATCCAGTGTGAAAGAAAGATTAATCAAATGGATGACAACCTCAGAAAGAAACTCAAAGTTGACTTAGCGTTCCTTCTTAAGATCTAGTGATGCAAAATCACCAGCAGACTTAATGTTCTTGTTCAGAAGAAAATTCCACTCGTTTCTGTAGCGAAGTAGGTGTGATGTTCAGGTTCTTAAGTTTCTATAACTTACTCCTAGAAAGCATGAATATCCAATGAGCAATGACTTCAAAACACATATTTGTGAAGAGAGTCTTCCAAAGTGTAATGGAGAAAGGCTGTATTCATCTTGCTGTTGTGCTTTTGCTGCTTCAGCAAATGAGTACTTGTTTATCGATCGCCAATATCACTACTGATCAAACAGCACTTCTTGCCTTGCGATCTCAATTTTCTTTATATAATTCTCACCACCTCTTAGCAAGAAACTGGTCCACTTTCACCCCTACTTGTAGTTGGATTGGAGTTACTTGTGGCTCTCGCCACCAAAGAGTCACTGCCTTAAATCTTTCTAGTATGAACCTTAAAGGAATGGTTCCACCACAGCTTGGAAATCTCTCGTTTCTCATTTCCCTCGATATCAGAAACAATAGCTTCTATGGGAGTTTGCCTGAGGAGTTCGCTCATTTGAGGAGATTGAAAATGATCCATGTCATGAATAACAACTTTACCGGTGCAATCC